GAATGCCGGAGCTCGCTTGGGACGGATCACAAGCCCAGCTGTAGGCGCCGACAACTGGGGCTTTCTCGTATGTACAATACTCTTCAAAGGCAGCAGCAGCTGACGTCTTCGGAAAGTCAGTCAAGTGCACAGGGCAATGTGCAGAGTCGTTCTTTCCTCGAGGAGCTGGACTGATCCTTTTTCATTTCGACTGTTATTATTAGGTGTGACAGGTTTGAGGGAGCCATCAACAGTATGGTGCAGCTTCAAGCTGCCGGACAAAGTCTGTCCCCTCGTCGAACGCGTGGGATCTCGCGAGACGTCGGCAATGCAATACTACTCTACTACTGCTACTACTACTACTACTACTACTACTTGTTATTCGCGTTTTTCGCGTTTTCTGCAGTTTTTTGCGCTTTTCGCGTTTTTGGCATGTTTCCTGCTTTTATCGCGTATTTAGGAAACCTTGAGTTCCAGGACTGGTACTTGTATGACCAGGTACTTGTATGACCAGAACTGCCTCGACTTCAACTGCGCTACCGGAATCGGCCACATACTGACATGCGGACTTGGCGCTTTGTAAAACTTTTTCCTATTGCTCTCACTAGTACTCGCATTGTTGCAATTGCTATTTTCAGCATGGGCTTGGATTGTGTGCCAGCGAACACACCTCAACAGCAGGGCCTTCTTATTGCTATTACTATTACTATTACTACGATTGCTGCCGTGGTTACAATTCTTGATGTTTTTTTGTTTATTTTTGCTATTGATCCTATTACTGCTGTTATTGTTATTGCTACTATTGCTGCGATTACTATTACTAGTACTCTTCTTCATACTAGTACTGGTGCTATAACTTGTGCTATTTAATCATTACTAATACAGGCATTACTATTGTTACTATTGCCATCACTACTCACTTTTCCTATGACTATGATTACTCTTACTATTATTTGTTATTATGACTATTCTTCTTGCTATTATTACGGCTACTATTGCTTTCACTATTATTGGTTATGTTTGGTACTATTATTACTTGTACTATCACTATTACCATCGCTATAACTATGGCTATTATTCGTAATAAGTGTGTATTACTGTTATTATTGCCATTATTGTCACTCTTGCTACTGTTATTTTTCTTATTCTTCTTCTTACAGTTGTGACTACTCTTAGTATTTTTTCCCACCCGCCCAGCTGACAAGTCGCACCGCAGGGATGACTTTAGAGTTCGAACTCCGGAGAAGAAGACTCGTGGGCCTCCAAGGAACATGCAGTCTCCCTAACGACAGGACAACCGCAAGTAGCAACCGTAAGAAAAGGGAGACTACACCCTCGTCGGTAGCCCTGTTCCTAGCAAGTGTTCGTCAAAGCGCAAAGGGTAAGCCCGAACGAAGCCTCAAGTAACCCAGGCCTTCACGCTACTCTTAGTATTAGTATTATTGTTGTTCCTATTGATATCATTTCTATTACTATTGTTATTACTGTTATGATTATGTTTACGAGTGCTATTACTTCTAACAATGATTATTCTTCTTCCTATTTGGTTTATTCCTATTACTATTACTATTTCTCTTATTTGTATTATTACTGGTACTATTACATTGATAAGTTTTGTTTGCTGTCACTTTTACTATTACTTTTACGATTTCCTATATTCTTACTATTACTTTTACTGCTTCTATTACCACTATGTGACAGCGCTCTTGTCCTACTGTGTGACAGCCTGATGCACCTTGCAACGCCAACCTTTGCAAGAGGGAGCCGTTATGAGTCGGATATCAGGGTTATCACAACTACCAGTGCGATTGCTTCGAGCTGACTAAGGGTGTAAATTAAACAAATAACAGGAACATCGAGGTCAGATTATGGGTGGTTCTAAGGCTACTATGGATGGTGTTAGGGCTGCTGTCAGGGCGAATATCAAGGGCACCATAGACATAAGGGCGGATGACAAGGATAGGGTGGGTTGATGCAGGCTTAACATGGCTTAACCTTGGGCTTAGTATGAGTATAAGCACACATAGATGTATGTGTGCGCATACGCGCAAGTCCGACAGCCAGTCCAACATGATCATATACAAGAATGGGAAGGGACTAGAGCGAAAACAGCTAAAGATCGTGGTTCTTAGTGGAGCTCGTTTTTGCATGGTCAGCTGAATATGACGGCTACTGTTGAGGTAAATGTTTGGGCAGTGTTTAACTTACTTGAGCTAAAATTAACTGATTAACTGTACTAGTATTGGGGGTGCCATGACTTTCAACTTCGGGGTCTTGAATACTCATGCTAGGGATGCCACAGCTACATCTGGATTCATGGTTGAAGCCGAGGGTCGGTGTTTCTCCGAAGGCCATTACTTGGGTTGCTGCGAGGGAGGCCTTCGGTACATTACGAAGGTTACCAATGGGAATAGCTTGCGGGTGATGTTAAGTTTGCGAGTCAGGTCCATCTTGGACTCAGATCGAATATTAGGGTTGCAAAGGGGACTGTAACATCCTTACTATCGGGGAAAACCAATGAAGTTGTTCTTGGCTCCCGCATGGCAGTATCCGTTGACTCCGCTTGGTAGGTTGTGCTTTGGCCACGCCTAGTGTATGTTCCTACATTACGAGTTAGTATGGGGATGTATAGAGGGGATACTAGTCGGCATAGCATTTTAATCCATGCGAACTAAGACGTTGAGCTACACGGCCTCTCTTTTGGATGAGCATGAAACAGAAGACTACGGTCACAAGTGGGGCCAACGCAAGGTCTACAGTAATGGCGGGGTTAGTCTTATGGATACTGTTGTTTAGGAGTAGGAGTCAGTCTTGCTCGTGAGGCTACTGTGAAGGTTATCTCGGGAGTTATTACTCGGGCCCATATTGAGCTTCGGGTATGCAGACATAAATGAGTTTCATCCTTGGAGAAGTCATCTCTTGGAGTATCCGCGTGAAGGGTCGCAACGGATTGCGAATAAAGGCGGCTGCCGATATACACATGCTCTCCCCTCGGAACTGCAAAACCTGACATTAAGCCTGGATCATACGCCAGAAGCCTAAATTTAGGAGCATCGGTATCGCGGCACCTCGCGGAAGTTCTTCGGGGGGGTTGCATATATATATATATATTTATCTATCTATTTATTTGTTTATTTATTTATTTATTTATTTCTATATACATACATATACATGTATGAGCGACAGAGTCTGTTTGTTAGATGGGACGTGTCTTGTGATGTGCGGCCCCTATCTCCCGCGCCTCTGAACAAGTTTTTGGGGCATAGTTTGGGGATAGAGAAGCATTAGATAGTAGTGGTGGTGTTAGTAGTAGTGGTGTGGCAAAGGGTCCACTGCTCGGAATGCGTTTCTTGTTTCTGTTCGTAAACACTCCTTAAACACAGGTGGGCCATGGGCTTCTTTCTATCTTCTTTCTATGGCACTTTCTTGGATCTCGTTTAAATCTCGCGTGTAACAACATACTGACCACTCATTTTTGCAAAAGGTGCACACAACAAGGCCAAGCAAGATGATACCAAACCGCCGATACAAGTGTGGAAGGGTCGGGTTTGTCACTTGCAAAAAAGCACACGGTTATGGACTCAGGTGTTTTCAACCCGCTAATGCTCGAAAATGTTGGCTCCAGCCGCGACCATCAATATATGTAACATGATGGCCTGTCTCTATGCATGTTTTGCAGCCCCTATCTCGTTAACCCAGTAGAGCACATATTTGGATGCAAACCAATGACATCGGTCTGTCACATAAGTAGTAAACGAATACATTCTGTTGTCATATCTATTTTTGGCACTCGCACTCGACGAGGTCAGGCGAGGATCCCACAAGGCAACATCTAGACCCAAGAGTCACATTGAACTCCAGAGTACTGGGTGCAGTCATATAAATAAAAAAAATAAATATATATATATATATATACACCGCACCACCAGATTCGATGCAACTTCACCACAACTGCACTCGTGTCAGACGTGTACCATCTGAATGTTTTTCGGTAAGGACCTCATCAAACACGACTAGTACGGACACGTCACTCCTATTACTGAACCAAGCACCAGCAGGTGGAAAAACCTTGTCGGCGATTCAACTTTGGGCCTTGGCCGCCTCGCGAGTACCCGAGCCACAGCACAAACCTTTCAGTTATTGGCTGGACCAGGGGTGGAAGAAGCGATGGAGGGCCTGGCATGTACGGGTCAGGTCTGTGCGCTCCTGACACACTGGTAGCAAGGGCAAGCGCATGTGAGCACAGGCTCAAGCGTGGCAGTTGAGAAGAAACTTGCCAATAGGGAAGATACACTAATTTGCGGCTTCAGCGAAGCGGGACTTTAGGAGGGGATATCAACATTGCTGGGACGGGAGAGCGCTCCCGGCGAGACTAATCTGCAAAGCAGGATCGAGAGGTCAAAAGCGGAACAAGGATCTGCGCAAGGGAATTCGCTATCATCGACCGAAAGACTCTACAAGGGAGGAAATATCGCTGAGGATGCAGGAGCTGTGCGGAGGCGGAGGCTGCGCAAGCCTTGAGCGGAGAAGGCCGCAGGCATGAGATGCGGTGGGCATTGGGTTCGGGACAGCGTGGTTTTCGCAGTCTCATTCCAGCTTGACTCTGCATTTTGTTGCTATGTGTCTCCCTCAGAGTGATCAAGCAGCACACATCGTGCACACAATGCCCAAAAACCTTAAGCAGGCGAGCCGATGCGCCGGCCACTTTCTGTCAGCCGTAGCTCAACAATACCAGTGTTTCCTGTAGATGGGGATTACAATTCTTACAAGTCTGGAAGAAAACAACATAAAACAACCACTGCTGCTAGGCAGCAGCAGCAAATGCAGTCGTCCCACTCGTCGCTCGCCTGGACGACTCGATGCTTAACTAGCTTTGGCTGTGGCTCTGCCTGGGCATACCAGGGTCAGCTTCAGTAGCTGCATGCTCCAGAAGAGCGACCGATACTTCACTGTGAACTGCTCTCAAAGGGGCACTGATCAAGCATTGAATCGACAAGAGTTCAATCGGCTAGGGGCTGGGCGCGATGAAACTCATCCTGCATGCATCGTCAATACATGTTCGAATCGGCATTAGGCCGTGAGGAACGGGATTGACCGATCGACCTCTTCAGAACCTAAGAAGCCTTGGAGCACCTGTCAGAGATAAGATAAACATAGGCCCTATCCTGTCAAGCGGTCGCTCAACGAGAAATTCAACGGGTCCTGGATCAGTTTGCGGTTGCCGATAATCGCGAAAGGCGTGCAGCAAAAAGCCTGCACAAGTTCAGGGCAGTTTACTCTTCAGGGAGGTGTACAGCACATACGCAGGCATCGCAAGTGAGTACAGCAGAAATGGGTTCCTGACGAAGCCTGAAGCTGAAAGATAATTGTTCCAACTCTGGCGCATTTAAACTTGGTTTACTAGGAGAATTTGCCGGAGTTTGCGGGCTTCTGCAGTTTGGCAGCAATGTCGCCGACTGAACGGCCAGCTGAAGGTACAACACCGTTCGCAGAAAGATGTGTTCCATCTCTGTGTTAGTCTTTCGGTCAACGGTTTCCCTGCACCCAAGGCTTGCGCACATCCGTTCCCGGCAGCATCCTTGTGAACATCACCCCTGCTTTCAAGCAAGCTAGCTAGAGCTTGTCCAAGGTCAGTTCGATCAGTTCTCACAACCAAAGGCCACTACCTCAGTCCGGATGTTGGCCCTCATCTCCAACTTGAGAGGAGGGCCACGAAAGCTACAAGAAGCCGGGGCGACTCGTCAAGCGAATCTATTGCAGGAGCGCACTGTGAATCACTCGAGTGGCGGAGGTTTGACATAATTCTGTACGACTGAAAAAGTCCCTGGGTGTACTGAGATTCTGCGACATATTGTCAGTAATGTACTCAGGAAAGTCGAGGCAACCCACTGTCTTCGCCAACTGACAGCGGTTGTGAATGTCACTTGCGAGAGAAGCAGCAAGCTGTTCGGTGTGCGTCGGGCCGAAAATGCCAATACACAGACGAGCGTGGCAAAAGGCGCAACACGCAGCTGCGTGTGCAACAGCAAGGTTCGCTGTGGCACACCCGGCAGAAGTTATGCTTGTCAGAAAGCACCGTAGCTAGGCAGCTAGGCAGATTCGTTTTACACGAAAGTCGCCATGCTGCCGACTAAACTGACTAGTGCCGATCTTGCAGTGTCGGGACAACACGTAAGCACTCCACAAGAGCAGTCTAAGCCAAAGCATGGCCACAGGCGACCTTGCACAATGCCACCGCCACCTTATGGTGGGGGCAAAATTCACCATCCTTCCCGGATTCTCCCTTCTATTGTCCGTGGTGGCGGGGGGGCTCCAACGCTCTCTGTTGCAACTATTGAGAAAGGACGATCCTAGACCACTCGGCAAATGCAGACTACTAAACTAAACATGCTGCACTTCCGTACATTTGTCATCATTCGAATATCTGCCTTCATTCAGACGTTATGTTCATGACGACACGTATGCCCCGATCCACATCCAGTTTTTGTGTGTCTTCCAGCTACGGATTGTTCTAACATACTCTAACTGTACATCCTCAAGCAACGCACCAGCCAATCATGTGGCGTTCACATGCTCGCACTCTTATCCCACCTCGAGAAGTACTCCCAAGATTGGTAATGGAAAAGGCCTCAGGCAGACAAAGGCTCACGTACCACTAAACTGTCGCACTAAAGGGCTAACGAAACTCCAATCAAAATAAAGGCCCGGACTCCTCCAGAATGGGGCAAGAGCGCCCGCCTCAGTCATGGAATCTGGCGAACGCTTTTGCAATCACGCGCAAGTACGCCCACTTGCTTCCGAATCGGCTCCCACTCCACGCCCTCACGATGATCCACCCTCGGTACACTAGTTGTGCTCACTTATTTCCCGCAAAATCCTTCGATGCTGCATCCGACGCTGGAAACATAGGCGAGCTTCAGATCAGGTCAGCTATCCGCTGGCCTTTTAAGGCCGCTGTGAAGTTGTTACAAGTAAAAAATGTTGCGACTTCAGTGCGCGAGAGAGGTTTGCCTAGTGGAGAAGCCTCGGACTCTCGAACTGTTGAGCTACGTTGAACGGCTCAAGGCTTCCAACTGTCTCTTCTACACTGACTCGTCCGCGGCACATCTGCCAAATAGGCAGCAACCCCAATCCTTGGGAGTCGAAAGAACATGCAAAACCCGATTCCGGCAATCCTGATCCACTTGCAACACCAACTTGCATCTTATCTAGCCGCTCCTCAATGTCTGGGCTTCATGCTTGCCGGTATGGCGACAATCACTAACTGCCTGTGCATTGGCCAGGTCTACTTACCTGGTCTACACGAGTCTACCCACCTCCATACGGTCCATACACTTGTCGCGACATTTGATGACTCAACGAAGCTGCTCTCTTTTATGCCGTGCATGGAAGAGGCGCAAACAGTGGCGCAGGCGTGGGAGTATAAGCACATAAATAGACAGGTATGATGTCTGTGCGAGCGGCCTCGATCCGCCCAATCGTTTCGTTCACACATGGTTCTTGTTGGTCAAATTGGGCTTCGGCTGGCCACTGTGCTCTCAGTCCTGCAGCTTCTTCTTCGTATAACGTTGCTTCATCCCGTCGGATACAAACTAGCTCGCTCTTCCAACGTAGAAGAGCTCCCTTATGCGCGGCAGTGCAGTTTCGCAATGAGCATCCCGACTCCCCGATGCCACGTGAACCTGTTCGACTCTGTGGTGCTGAATTCTACACAGCTCTGAATCGAACAAGGCAGTTATTTCCGAACTTGATTTACATCAGCACAGACTCGGCAAAAAGACCACCGCAGCAAACATAGTCCAGATTCGCCAAGCGTAGAATTTCCTCAGAGTCTGATCAACTACGAAACGCATGTCGGGCCCATGCGAAGCAGGGCAGGCCAAGATAGGCCATCATGCACGGGGAGAAGAAGTATAAACACAAATGCAAAAGTTAAAACTGAAAAGTCAGGAAAAGCACAACTGAAACCATGCAATATTTGGCCAGGTCACTTGTCGCTGCTGACATGCCGTACAGCAGGGGCACGCGCAAGACACGCCTTTAGGTGTCGCTGCGAGGAAAGACTTGAACATGTATCCGTATTTTCTGCAGAACTAGGTTGGGGTGCTGGTGGCTCCCATATTCCCAAACTGCGCTGCGCTCTTAAACCGGAGGACGGTCGTAAGCCTCCAGGGCAAAAGACGGATTAAGTACTTGTTAACGAACGAAGACACATCAATTCTGGCAATGTCTTTGCAAATTGTATTGTCAAGACGATCCAGCCGTCCTCTGTGATAGCCCGTCCTTGAATCAGTGTCTGTTGCTCACGCCCCAAAGTCCGAATCTCTCTCGGTCTCTTCGACGGGACATGCAATGGGCACTCTGCTACATGCTAAGATTTTCGACATCTCGAATATTCACGTGCTTGGAATGGGTTTTGGTACAGATTCAGCGAGGCGAGGGCTCGATCACATCATACCTTTTTCTCTGTGCAAACGCCATTCGACATAACAAAATGACTCTGCATGCGAGGGAAGGGGAACAGTTTTACATAAATGAGTGCAGGTACTGACCAGGTAGGGCCCGCTGGCATCGACCCGAGCGTATTTCCTCATAAAGACTTCCTCGGGAATCGAGGGACATCGTAGAATGTTCTACGTCTTAGAAAGTTTCTTCTTGGACATCAACTAGAAACTACGGAAAATCGAAGCAACAAGTTCTCCTACTGCAACCACGCAGCAGCAAGTGCCAGGCTCCTGCCACTCGCGTCTTGCAATGACTACCGGCTGGTCCCTGACTATCTGCAGAAGGATCACCGCTGATGGTGCTTTCAGATGGCCCTGAAGGCTGTGATGCTACGATTCGCAACCTGGACATCTGACAAGAGCATCGATCCAGGCCTTGCACGGGGCTGTCAAAGGCGATGTCCTCCACGAATCCTCTTTGATGCCTCCAGGAGGGCTGTCGACCATTCTGCACTGCCTCTCCTGCAACCGCCAAACGCCCACTCCTTTCTGGAAAGACCCCATACGGGGTTTATGAGGATTGATGTCACGTCACAAGCGAGGACGACAGAAAGTTTCAGGAATAAAAGCCAACCGGTAAGGAACCTCTCTGCCCATCGGCCGGTGGAAGACTCCACGCTACAACACCGACCGAACCAACCCACAAGATCACAACGAGAACCCCGCAAACCCCAGGCCACTGATCCCTTTTAACTGGAGTTGTTTCTGGGAGAAGGTCACTCCAAAGAAAGCACACATGCATTTATATTGCTGGTTTGTATGCTCCAAGAGTCTCAAAACATGCAATCGTTCACTGCAAGGTAGGGGTCGTCAGGATTTTACATATGGACCGGAACAAGAACAACACTGCAAGCATGGTTGGATCGAGTTCAAATCACTGCAACTGCTGAGTCGCTGACTGGATCCACTTCTGAACATACCTTGGCAACGTGGCCGCGGCATGCGGTGGCCGTCAATCCACGGAACTTTGCTTAAGGTATACTTGCAATTGTCGCGGCACCAAAATCTTCGTTCCCCTGTGGCGCAGCTTGTAAGCTGCAGCTGCAGCTACAGTAATTAGATGTATGCGAAAAGCCACGTCCCCACAAGGCAGGCATCTGCGTGTACTTGGCCTCGCAAGAGTCTTTTGAAAGTTGCTTCTGTTGTGGCATACCTAAGGGTCGTTCTAAGATAGCGGCACGAATCTGCTAAAAGTCCTCAGCTTGGTTGTGGTCCGGAAGTACAGCGCTTTCGCAACTTGGGTCCACCCACAGCATTTTTGAGTCTTCAGCTTCCAAGAATTTTCAGCACTCGGACCTGCCTTGCTTAGCAGGCAGGCAACAGCTTGCAGATTCATGTCCGCTTTTCTGACCGGTGAACTCCTACGTGGTTTGCGTCCATCAGGGGAGGCGTTGTGAAGAAATTGTGTGGAGAATGGGTCCAGGAAGGGTGCATGGCTTTGGTAGTGGCATGAGGCGCCGTGGCCATTCAACGGGGGCCCGCAAGACTTTGCACACTTGCTTGGTGTTTGCCGACGGGGCTGTGGTTGATGCTTTTCCAATTGCTGTCTTCTTGGGTACCCGATCACAATCCGAGCACCAGCTCATGTACAGGGGTCGGCACTCCAATCACAAAAATACAGAGAAACGCAGAGAATGAGAATCCATACACAGTTTTCAGCACACACAACTGGGACAAGCCTGGTTCAATACATAGTTTTAGGCAGCACCAAGCCAAGGTGCACAGGGCATCGCATGCGCCAGCATCCCTCGAATCCTTCACATTGACAAGGGCCAGCCAACCCCAAGAAAGGCTTCGACCCAGTGGTTGCTCCCAGTTGCTGTCGCCTCTCTGCTTCGACTAGTGGGGTTACTGTGCTGTGTCCGACAACATTGACTGGATCAAAGCGCCTGTGGAATGCCCTTGATGCAAGGCGTGTAAGGCTTAGCGCTTGGGGGCCATGATCTGCCGCGAGCGTCAGTGGTCTCGCCCTTGAGTCTTGAGTGGGGTCCAAGACCCGGTCTATGTCAGTTCGACGGCATGTGCACAAGAGCTTCAGCCACCCTGATCCATGTGGCAAGAAATCCTTCACCATCCTGACGGCGAGGGCCATGGAAACCTCGACATCTTCTCAACAGGCTGGAATCAGTAGTTCTCTATAGCCGGCCCACTGCCAACTGGATTCAAACATAAAGCTAAGACTTCGGCAGGAAGTGACCTGATATAAATCGTGGCTCAGCTTTGAATTTTGAGCCAAATCATGGCAAGTCCATTCATGCAGAGGATATTTTCCTCAACGCTCTTCCGAAGCCATCGAACGCACGCACGCACGCAGAGACACACAGACAGAGACGCAAACACAACGCAAACAAACAATCGGCGCACTCTGACCCC